TGCGCAGCGCCCCGGGAGCCGCCCCGGGACGGGCCGTCTGTGTCACCCTTCCTGCTTGTCCCTGGAGATTAGCCTTGCTGGGTGTGAAAGTGTTTGCGCTGGGAGGCGCCGGCGGCTCCTGCCCTGCTCCCGCATCATGCCCCCAGGCACCGTTTTGATTTTGATCTTTGTTAAAAAACGAAAGAAAGGCTTCCAGGGAAGAGTTCTTGAGCACATCTCATATGCAGGAGTGATGCTGAGCGAAAACCTGGCTCTGTTTTCCCACTCTGGTGCAGGGTGTGCTCAGTAAACCCGGTATCCAACTGGAGAGGATGGGAAGGGTTATTGATCACTTAATTAACACTTTCAAATCGAGACACTTGGAGTCCAGTGGGGTACCCGGACCTGGCTCTGCCACTGGTCGGGCTCGCGGCCCTTCCTGCCTCCCGCATGGCCAGGCTGAACGTCCCCGGGGCTGACGGGGTGTCCCCGCTCGCTTGGCAGGTGCTGGAGCTGGCAGGCAACGCCTCCAAGGACCTCAAAGTCAAGCGCATCACCCCCCGCCACCTGCAGCTCGCCATCCGCGGCGACGAGGAGTTGGACTCGCTCATTAAAGCCACCATCGCCGGAGGAGGTAGGTACCGTCCGGCCAAGCTCGCTCGCCCTTCGTGTCGAGCCTGCTGCAGCCCCCGTGTACAAATCCTGCCTAAAAACCCACCCAAATCCTCCCTAGCTAAGGGCAGGTTGCCTCCCACTCCAGAATAATCCGATCAGCGTAGGGAGACAGTCGCCTAAAATCCCCCGGAGCGCTCGGCTCTGAGCACGTCGTGATGTTCGCAGGAGTCCCGAGTGGGCAGGTGTTTGTCACCGCACCTTGTGCCTTGTGAAGTGATAACGTGTGACTCACCGGGTGGGAGGGAGCGGGCTCCAGCTGAAGTCCGTGCTGGATTACAGGCAACTGGGAGACTTGGGATGGGAGGAGAGGATTTCTCAGAGCTCTTCCAAGAAGTGTGGTGGGTTTTTGGGCATGTGGCTCCATGGAAATCCTCCTTCTAATGCGTTGTTCTCTCCGCAGGTGTCATCCCTCACATCCACAAGTCTCTGATTGGAAAGAAGGGACAGCAAAAAACTGCATAGAGTGGAGTTTCACCCAACCCCCTTCCTCCCTGTCATCGTACTGTAACTGGGGCAGAAGACATGCTGGGGATACGTGGAATTTTTTAAGGAAATAGTCAAATGGAAGAACATAGGCAATTGACTGTAGACAGGAGCAAACCATTTGTATGTTCTTTAGATTCAAAGTTTGACAAAAAAAAAAAAGACCCCCCCTTTGTCCCGTGGCAGCAATTCGTGTGGTGATTGGCTAGGCTTCTCCCGTGTGTTTTATACGAAAATGGAATGGATTAAAGCAAAAAGAAACATTTTTTACACAAGGTGTCCCTGCGTGGTCCTGGGGGGGAAGCGGGGGGGAAAGGGGACACCCAAGTGTCTC